GTAAGTATATAAAACGTTATTTTGTATATTTTACACATCAGCAGAAACAGAGAGAGATGGCAGGAAGGGGGGAGAAAGTCTCCCCCACCTTTACAGACACTGTGTTTTAGAGAGAACAAATACAAGTGTAAGGGAAGTGTTTTTAAATTACATCCCCCTTCTGTCTACTGATAAGATGGCAGGAAGGGGGGAGGAGGGGGCAGGGCACACACACACACACACACAGACACACACACACACACACACACACACACACACACACACACACACACACACACACACACACACACACACACACACACACACACACACACACACACACACACTTTTTATTTTATAATACACCATAAGGCGCAACAGTGGGGGCTTTTCACACCTGTGAATACACATCACCCCCCTCCTATCGACGGATCTCACACCTACTTGAGATCTCACACCTCGATCAAAGGAGAGGCGGGACTTAGCTCATTTGCATAATTTGGGGAGGTGTGACCTGTCACTTTTTTATGCATACTAATGTGATGGAAGCGGGATGAATATTACTACTGCTGCTTTATTGTCTTTTTTATAACAAGCTAAACAGAATAATTCTTCAAACTACAGATTGAGACAATAAAAACATGATTCAATCTTTACTAAGGTAATAAATCAAGTGAGAAGTCGAGTCATTTCCTCATAGACTTCTATAAAATCAGACAGCTTATTGCCACCAGTGGAGAGAGAACGCTGGTTTATGGCCTTTACTTTTCAGAACCGGATGATGCTTCTTGAATGGTAACAAATCTCATGTCAAAAACTGGAGCTTTGAGCTCCACTGAATGAGAGTCTCGTGGAGAAGCTCAGTTTCCTATGTGTACTTCAGCATTCTGCACATTAGTGACTTTTTAACTTTGTTATTTGTATTCTTCTCCAGAAAAAATACATGGAACTAAGTCAAATTTATCTCCTCTAAAACATTTTTGCAGCACCTGTCAATCATGCATCAAAAGCAACGCCCTACACTGTAGCAGTGTCACATGTTAGATTATTTAACAAACCGAACAATATCAGTTTCTAGAAGAGAAAGTATTTGGATTTTTGTTTTTTCGTCATGTTATTTAATAAAGTTATTCCAGATGAGGTGAGGACACTCACCTTCTCCCATTTATAAAAGCGGTCAGCTTTGATGATCATGTCGACCAGGATGACGTGGTTTCCTCTGGCGGCCACCTCCAGACAGGTCTTTCCCTGCTGGAAATATTATAGTTATACATATATACAGTATACAGGTTAGTATGATCTACAAGTCAAAGTAATAATACAAAAGAGAAATTACCTACCGAACAAAGGTTAACCAGTTCTTATTTTTCATATAAAAAAATAGTTATGATTTGATGACATGGAAAGCAATTCTGCTGGAGTACAGCACATTTTGATAATGTAGGGAACATTTATATTTGTTCCATTGTAGGTACGCTTACTTTTACTCGAGTAAGAAACTCTCTATACTACTTAACGAAAATACCAAGAACATTCTTTTATCAATTATTATATAAAGGAAAACAAAGAAAAAAAGGCATATGGGAACCGTTATTCTCTCCCGGTGGGGGGGGGGGGGGGAGTAATGTGCTGTGAGGTACCTTGTCGGTCAGATTGAGGTCAACTCCAGCGATGAGCATCATTTCAGCCAGGTCCTGCCAGCCGTGCTCTGCTGCGATGTGCAGCGCAGTCTGCTGTCTCTGAGGAGCACACCACAGATATCAGAGAGTGCTGCACTGTAGCCTCCATGTTGCTCTGAGAACTAGCTCCATGTCTTTGTGAGTGTGCACTCATGGATCTCACACATGTACGGAAAAGCCAGCAGCTTTGATTGTTTAAAGGGTTAGTATGGATGTTTTAAAGTGGGGTTGTTGAGGTACTTATCCACAGTCAGTGTATTGCCTACAGTGAATGGTAGCTGGCACACCCTGACAGCTGGGTAAAGCAGTGCAAATAAAGCGTACACTTATATGATATTGATTTTTAATTAGGTGTTAAAATACATGTTGCCGCCCCCCCGTGTACAGCAGTACAGAGCTTAGCTTCCATGCACTAACTCCTATGTGTTTCTCCAAACCAAGGGCGTGCCAATATCCATCTACTGTAGCTGAAACACTGACTATGGATCAGTGTGAAGATCCTATTTATTTTTATTTACCTGTTGCCTGTTTTATTTGGACATTTTTTCTATGAGTAATATGTCTGTTTTTATCACCTTTGTTTTAACGCCTGTTCGATTGTCCGTGCTGGACCTATTCGTTTCACCTGCTCCCCATCCGCCCTGCAATCACCTGACCTCCTGTAAACCTGCACTTTATGCCCTCATTAGTTTCAGCTTTTATTAAAATCCTGGTTTTCTGTGAGTCTTGTCCTTGTATGCCATGTAATAGGAAGTTCTGTTCATCTTGACCTGCCTGGATCCCCAACACTTTGGGTATTTTCTGTTTAACTTCCTGTCTCCAGCGTTTGGTTTCACCCTGCTCCACTTCCCATGAAATCTATTAACTTCATACAACCCCCTTCATAATATCCAGACCCTCCCTTTAACATGCACAGGTCAGAGTCAGCAATGTGTACCCACACGGTCAGCGAGGTCCAGGTCACAGTCAGCGCCTATGAGCAGCCGCAGAACCTCTGCATGGTGGTGGAACACAGCGAGGTGCAGAGCTGTGTTGTGTTGCTGTTCCAAACACAAAGAAAGATCCTTTAAATGGATATGCATGCACAGTTTGATCCTGATAATAAACATGTCAACACAGAGGACCCACCATGGCCTGCAACCAAGTTTTTGGTGTCAGAATAGGTGATTTTATGTCAAGTACTCTTGCCAATATACATGTTTCCCTATTTAGTCATTATTCTTTAGACATGTGGAAATCTTAGAAGCAAAAAATATATTTTGTCTTTTGATATTATCGACTAAAATTCTCCATCTCACTAGATAACTGTTTTGCGTTTCTAAAGTCAACAATACACATGCTGAACAGAATAAGAATACCTTGAATATCTGGAATATCCTTTTAGCCAAATCATTTTTATTTAATAATTTTAAATATCTAAAAGAGTACACTTGTTAATAAAGCATTGCCATTATCATTTTTTAATGATAGGGTTAGATGTTGTTGTAGGCGATCTTACGGTAAGTGGTGCAGTTTGTATGTGTAGCTTTATGTTCATCCATCGAGTGTCTCTGAGGGGGAGGGATGTTTATATGGGGG